GAGGGCACCCTCGTCATTCCCGCCGCGGATAGGCGCGCCACGTGTGCCCGGCCCCCGCTAGTGCGGTCCACGCCACGCCGCTGGTCCGCTCCCTCCCTCACTGACACGCGGGCCGGGTCTCTACGGGAGGTCCGCCTTGTCAGTGACGTTCTTTGGCAAGGGGCGGCGTGCGTGGAGGGTGGCTTGGCGGGTATTGCTCGGGCGAAAAGTTCCGCTGCTGCGCCCGCCACTAGCAGGCTCTCACTCGCCCGCGCACTCGCGCAGGGCAGTGGTCCACACCGTGGAGGCGGGGTCGCTGGCGGGCGGGCCCGGGCTCACAGCGACGGCCCGTTTTGGTTAGCAGCTGAAAGGCGAGGCTTTCCGACTTTCGGACGGGCGGCTGTATTTTATGATTTTCGCGTGCGCTTTTGTGTGGCAGTGGTACTAGGATGGACGGACGGGAGACGGGGGCGACTTGGATATTCCGTCGCCACTCGTCGCGCCCCCGGAGATATTTTCCAGATATTTCCGCTTCTCCGTGCATCGTCAACCTCGATATTTAAGACCGTCTGTCTGTGTGCGCCCTACTACGTCCAGTTTTATTCTGCTGCTATGATTGTGGTGTTGTGCGCGGGGAGATATTTCCTTCCTTCCTTCCTGCCCGCCCTGTGCTGCATGCAGAGAACTTTGTCTTTTCTAACTGGTCTAGCTGTGCAACCTCAAAATATCGGCAAAAGGGACCGACAGGCTATGAGGACTTGAGTTGCTATACTACTCGAGGTGGTCAGGGCCGGTGCCCACTGCGTCCCCCCACCCCAAAAGGGGGTCTACGTTGGTACATATTTTGGAAAATCTATGATGCTCATGTTCTTTTTTGTTGGACCGGCTTAGACGTTCGCTCAAGACATGGCATGAACGTTTTTCCTGGCAAACAAAGGATTTACTATGAAAACTTCCGCCTGAAGGAATTGCCATACCCTGGCTATATAAATTGTTGTAAAAAACATTTGCTTTGCTACCTCAGCGGACGTTCGTCGGATAGCATTATCATTTTTATTTAACTTGATGTAAACTAAGGGATAAAATCCATCAATAAACTACGTGCATAACATGGACGTCTACAGAAGAATTATTAGAGTGATTTCTTTTTGGGATAAGTATATTTTTCGTCCCTCGATTTTTTCGAAAGCATAGAAATGGTCCCTTAACTCCAAAACCAGCAAACTATAGTCCCTCAATTTTTAAAACCGGATAAGTTTAGTCCCTCATACCACTCCTTGGAGGCGTTGTGAACATTTGTTACATACATATACGATCATATACTCTACAACATGCGAAAGAAATTGACATATATTTTTTCTAACTGTTTAATCTATTTTAATTAAAAACAGTATTTTTTAGGACTAAATAGTATATATTTTTAAACTGTATGGAAGTGATTGTGTTGATTTTGCTGATTTTTAGGCATCGTAATTTTGCAATTCGTACTAGTAGTAGGTGTTTTGGTTATCTGTAAAGTGATCAAACTCGTAGTCAGCATTTACATGCCCCTTGCTTTGATTTGAGTGCTTGTTAGTTCACTTCCACTCCGGCAAAATCAACAGGTGTACAAAAGAGACACTTTTGAGTCGCTATAAAATATCCAAGGATGGAGATGGTGACGATATTCTACCAAGTTTGACACACCTTAACATAGTCTATTTTTTTCCAACTAAAAAATACCGGCTTATTCCTCAATTAAATTGATACACATCGTTTTTTCTTCTTCGCAGAAAACAATATATATAATACTCCCTCCGTTTCTAAATATTTGTCTTTCTAGACATTTCAACAAATGACTATATACGATGCAAAATGAGTGAATCTACACTCTAAAATATGTTTATATACATCCGTATGTGATAGTTCATTTAAAATATCTAAAAAAACAAATATTTAAAAACGGAAGGAGTACATCATTTCCCTCCATAGAACTCCTTGATAATATTGTATGTAAAAAGTATGCTCAAGTGGTGTTTTCTTTTGTTCCTGATTGGTGGCCGCGCGGCCCAAAAACCTCGTCCCCACGGCAGCAGGAGCAGGGCCGCGCTGACGACGGAAATATCTGCCTCCCCGCCGCTACCCACCTACTAATTCGACGATCGACCATGTGGTGATCTGGTCACCTTTCCAATAATCCGTCCAGATATTTATCGCGACGGCGACGGTAACATGCCTGCAGTGGCAACCGGAACATGAGGCCAATTTCGCCACTCCCTGTGCATGCCTCCCTCCCGTCCATCCAAAACGATGCTGCTAAACTGTATACTAGCAGCAGATAAGGAGCATGCAGCATCCATCCATGGAGCCATCGTGTGTTGAGCTGTATGCGACCGAGTCCCTTTCGGCGAGTGAAAAGGGCCGGCCTACCATCATTTGCGGACGTGGACGTGGAGCGAGCGCGAGAGCTTGTGCTAGCTGCTGCCTCTCTGCTTGGCTTGCTTTTCGTAATGGCTAATGATGATGATTTCGGCAACTAAACTAAGCGTGGCTTGGTTAACTATGTTATCTTATGGACCGAATTAGCTCGTGATGTCGAACTGCTTTGGAAGCCCTTGGGCCGAGCAACACGTTACACATTTTCTGTTAAACCACGTGTCCTTTTCCTTCCCGGGAAGAAAAAGGGGACGAACGAGGAATCGACAGTTAAAACCATCCCAGGTGATTACTCAAAACCGAGCAGATTACTAAACCGGCACTTCAATGTAAAATAAATACTACAATAATAGTAAATTTTAGAGCAACTCCAACACACAGACCCAAATAGACACGGATTTTGTCCGTT